CCGTATTTACATTGAACCTTATGGGAAAATTTGATTCGGGTCGTGACCAGAGTCGCGGAACAAATTAAGTTCGTGAACCGAGGTACCACTGTATATATATTTTTAAAAATCCATTCTGATCTTACTTGTCAGCTGATTCAGTACTTAGAGGGATTCTGCTGTTTTGCAGTTTTCTTCCCAAATAACCATGAAAAAAAAATTCTCACATCCATATTCTTCCATAGATACATACAGAGTGCATTTTATGCATATACTGCACATTGTTTTCATTCATCAATATACGCCCCATCACTGACTTAGGTCTAAATTTTTCTTCATTAGAATTATTAACATGGCGGAGCCAATCCAATGTTCTCCTATTTTCTTTATTCTTAAAGGGGAAGATATGAGCGGAGATTCTAATTATTAAATCTGAAGTAGTCTATCCAATCCAATTAACACAGCTTTTAGTTATACGTTCATGAGCACTGTTATACTGCTTGTCTTATCTAGGGCCAGAATGCTGGAGAGAGCTAGGCTCCAGGCTAGAAACTGGGAGATTGTAAGTTCTAGGCCTGCTTTAGGCACAAATCCAGTTGGGTAACCTTGGGCCGGTCATTCTCTTTCAGCCCTTGAAAGAAGGAAATGGCAAACCACTTCTGAAAACCTTGTGAAGAAAACGGCAGAGACTAGTCCAGGCAGTTGCCAGGAGTCAACACAAACTCAAAGGTACCAAAAAAAAAAAAAAATCTGGATTCTGCGACAATGGAACAGGATTTAGCTGGGCAAAACCATATAGCAATGGTTTGCTTCCCATCATTTTTGTTCACTGTACCGTTTGTGCAAATTACTTTTGAGGTAACAAGATATGTTGGAGTAGAAAGGGATGGATACTTCTATGTTATATGGCTTTGCTAAAAATCTGAAAGTAGCTGGGCACCTCTGGTCATAAACTGGACCAGACATATAAACCCAAATTATTTTTATCAAGGAAGAACACTAGAACATGAGAATGTATATGCTGACTTTTAGTGGGTGGCTTTAAGTCACCATTACAAATCATCCACTGGTGTTAACTACCACTCTACTCTCAAAAACAGTTTATATGTCTATCTTACAAATTTAAGATAATAAAGTATGGGGAAAATTCCAGTGGTAACCGCTTTCTTGCCTATTATGTCTTCCATCTGATTCACAGTTAAGGCACTTTTAATTTTTCTAAAATGAAAATTAAATTTTACTTCTAGACCGTGAAAGGCTCAAGAGCGAAGACCATAAAAAACAGAAAATCTAAAACAACTACTAGAAAACTGTTTGGAAAGCTATGACCATCCCGATAAAGCATTAGGCTGAAACCAACTCTAAACACCATTGCCTATTACAGGGTTAAAACGAAACAGGAACAGCAAAATCTATATAGCCATAGAGAAAGGATAATATTATTTATATCAGATGCTTTGTCAGGAGCTATTAGGGATAATTTTTTTAAAAAAACTTATTCTTCAGTCAGTTATTTTGAAAAAACTTATTAAAGATAAGTTTTATCTTTATCTTTGGTAGAACAAATTAGTTCTACCAAAGCTGTTCACATTCAACAGGTTGTTTGAACCAGCCTTCAATGAAATAGCCCCTTCCTACAATACTTGGCTTTTTCAGCCCTGCCACAGTTGTGTGTTTTAACTTGACATTGTAGATGGTCAACAATTCTATGTTACCTCTTCCCCATTCCTGGTGTTACCAATACTCCAGCCCTAGAAAACATGTTTAAAATGTAGTAGAACATCTGCCAGAGAAGCAGATATCCAAGGAAGAGGAAAATGATCGGCAGAACTCTTAAATAAGTTTGGTGAGCCTGACTCACAGCTCTCCTTTTTGTAGTATTGATCATACTGCACAGTAAACAGATGTCACAAATGTGAGAGGTATTAGAACTGATAAAAGTTGACAATGTCTAACAGTTTTACACAGTATCTTTTTTTAAAAATCCTCTGCAATGATGCACCAGCTCTACAACATGCTACTTTGTTTCTGAAATGCAACAATTCCATAAATAAGCACAGAGGCCTTGATGTTCCTACCTTACCTGCTAATCCCTGATGGGAAATATTTTACAAGGAAAAATTCCAGGGGACTACTGCATTCCAAAAATCTGCCACAAAAGTTCCTCGGTAGGGTGACTGCTTTCCCATGCTGGCAACCCTATCAAATGTCCTGTCCCATAGTTTTTTTTTTTAAAGTATTTTCTCTACAATGTGTAAAACAGGTATTTCTTGTATTAATGGAATATCCACAGGAGTGGAGTATATACATTGCACTAAAACCTATCTTTGTTCAAAGATAATTAGAGGTGTATATCTACAGTTTATTAGGTATAAGAGCTGGTGACTTCCATTTTATTACAGCAACATCCTGAATTACGACTTTGGATAACTCCCAAGCTGAATGACAATATTATCCTTTGCTTTATTAATTAGTAAACAGAAAAAAGTTTATCGCGCACCTGTGATGATTAATAGATTAATGCAATATAATATATCTGTTAATCTGGGGATTATAAAAGCCTTAAACATTCTTTCAAAGGCAGAGAGATTCAAATTATCAAGTTAAGCCACTTAAATCCTGAACATTTTTTTAAAAAAAATACAAGAAACTCATGTTCTTCCACAAGAGAAGAATCTCTTACCTTAATCTGATTGTCCAATGGTGACTTTTAAATACATTAGAAGACTATATTTCTTTTCCTGTTCCAAATCAGATTTGCTCTCAACCAATTTATTTTCTCATACTATGATCCTTAGTTGAATCAATTACATATTATTCCATATTAATTTATGTATGTATTTATGACAGCTATTTGCATGCTGCCTACCACTGGTCTCTATCTGATAGTGTCATAGTAACTTTATTACAAGAATCACCCCATTTTCTCTAGATAGTATTTAAATGTGGCATTATGAAAGGATCCACTCTTCATAAAATAGATTGGGTTTTTTTGTTATACAGAGATATTATGTCTAGGAACCCACGGATGACCATCTTATTGTGAAAGCTTCATGATTTTCTTTTTTTAATGAAGAAAATTTGGGGGAAACATTTAAACAACTTTTAAGTACATACGCAATGGTTAAGGCACCAGGCTAGAAAG